TTCATTTGTTTATTAGCCAATAGCTCAGGCTCTGGTCTATTTCTTTAACAAATTTACGGGGTACTTCAATTGATCTTAAAGTACCTATTGGCCCCTGTTAACTCACAGTGCTCATTAGGATGCACACGAATAGACAGGAATCTTGTTATGAAATAGGTGTCAGTGGCAAAACACTCCAGACTGCAGGAGAGCAGAGAGCTCACATGGCTTCCAGCTCAAGGGAACAATCCTGCCTTTCCGAAGCTCTTAATGCTTACAAAAAGAAGCAGCAGCACCAGACTAGACCTTCTTAAAGCTGTTGGGATTCAAGCTTTGTGCTCAAGACAGCCTTCACAACTGAATTAAGTCAAAGACACCAACAACCCCCACACTGATTAGCACCAGCATTTGTTTTCTTGTATGTTAATAAATCTCTGATGCAAAGAGATATTTTACATACCTGTAAAGCAGCACAAACCATCTCTCCCTCCTGCACACCATGGGAAGTCCAGCACCCTAACCTTGCTCCCAAGAGATTTATAGAAAAAGGGTGTTTTCCCTTTATCAGAATTCTGAGCTGATTTGAAACACACAACAGCTGAGAGCTCCCATTTAAATCCCTAAGGAAGAGCTGCTAAATGTTTTTCTGGGCTAGAAAAAGAGAGAATCAGAATGTTCCCTTTTGAAGGCTTTGTCTATAACAGCTCTGGGAGGCAGTGGATATGTCCAGAGCATAGCTACCACCTAGTAAATTTAAAAGCTAAGTTCCTTGGAAGAGCTGTGCTGTGTCAGATGTATACATCCAACATAGTAAGAAAAATGGTCTCTTCAGGTTTCTAAAGTCTCCAGACTCAACCTTGAGCTTCCTTCTAGTCCAAAGCTCACTCTCCTGTTGTATCAGTGATCTCTTAACTCCCACAGAGGATGTTAATCCCTCCCAGACCCTGTATCGGGCAGCAGAGACCTGCCTTCTTCACCACATCTCTGAAGTGCTGCCTGCGTATCCTGGGGCATCAGCATCTTGTCTACCATCCCAGACCTCAAACACCCACCCCAGCATCCCCTGCTCTGCTGTGCTGCCTCCTCGCTGGGTTGTGACTCTGCAGCAACTCTGCAGCACTGTTGCTCCTAACAACCATCATCACCCCAAGCTAGGCATAGCCTGGGATTTCCTACATGAATCCAGATGCATGTGGAAGAGCCTTCCTTTCAACCCAGCGCTGCCACAGAGGCACCTCTTGCCATCCTTTAACGGGGTAAAAAGCCTGCAGCTCTCCTGTGGTCTCAACAGTGAGAATAAATACTGAGAAAGAATCAAGTGTTGCTCTTTTATTTGCTAGCTTACCCACTCTTTCCCTCACATACACTCGAGAACTCCCAGCATTGCTTCACCTCAGGTTGCATTCAGCAGAAGGCTTTAGGTGCTCATTAATTAATACCTAATTGGTGAAGGCCTTTGCTTACAATTCTTATGCAAATTGCTCTCAAATTGTGTTCTGTTTTCAGCTGAGCTGAATCCAAGCACTAAAAAGCCAGAAGAGAAAAAGGCAAATTGAGGAGTGTATGTGCAGGTAATAAGGCTTTTCTCTTCCTCAGAGGCTTGGCAACAACCTTGGGTCATGTGTACTACAAGCATAAATTTAGAGATGAGATAAAGAGCTCTGTAATGGTTGAGTCTTGCAGAACATGTGAGTTAAAAGCTGCTCTTGGAAAGAAACTATTGATAAACACTCACTGACGTGTTGGTTATTAATGTGATGTTTTTATATAAGCTCTTTCTCCTCTAGGAACATGATGGATTTTTACCACAGGAGGAAAGAAGAGCTTTTCATGTATAATTTAATCATTATGTATGTGCCTGGTATTAATGCCACATTTGACAAAGCTAAAGTCTAGTGTGATCTGGTTTTAATTTGGGCTCCTTATTACAGTTTGTTGTAGCTGCCTAATTGAAGTTTTCCAGGAAAGTAATCAGCATTATTACCATAGTGAGCTCAGTTTAATAAGAAGGTAATTTTGCAATTTGTTTTCATTAATTAGGCAAAACCCCATAAAATCCACACAGTGGCATATAAGCCCAGGGAAGCTGTGAGACCAGCTGTGGCATTCAAGGAAAGATGAAATTTACCTGATGATGTTCTGTCCTCAATGTGGTTTTCACCCCTGCAGCTTTAGAAAAGCAAACTCTGTCATACAATGCTTAACCTGGATGTCTCTACTAGGGCATGTTGTCTCCAAACAAAACCTAAAAGCGCATTGTGAAGGATGGAGGCAGGACAGCTACATCAAGAGATGTGGGAAGTGAGTCAATGTCTATACACAGGCTTCCTCCAATGGTCCCAGGTGTCAGAGTAAACCAATCTCATTCTGCTGTGAAAAGGAATCAAAGTAATAGTGGGAGGGCTCTCTGGGCCATCTCTGAAAAACGAAAGGTCTCTGGGCTGGATTGTAGATCTTTCTACATGTCCCCACTGTAAGAATACTGGGACGATTTCTAGTACTAACCAGCTTTGTTGTTCAAACTCAAGCAGAGACCAAGCACACACCAATTTATCCAAAGAGCTGCCCTAACTCTGGCTGCCTTTCCAGAGAGCTTGTATTTAGTTTTGTAACAGTGATTAACGCTTAGCAAGCCACGCACTAATCACGTGCAGCAAAGCAAGACTTTCACCAAAGATCATTTACTGTGATGCTTGTTCTCCTCTGCTCTGATGATGCTAGGGTACCCAGAGGCCAACTAGCTGCTGCGTTGCAAGGATGGAAGAGCTCCTGGTATCCTGTACGTCGCTTATTGATCATCACAGGACAAGCAGGGATTGATTTTGCCCACTGTTGAACCTCTGGATCTGTTTGGGCTGCTGGTTTTACTGTGGGGTTACAAACATGCCCACTTGAGGGGCTGCTTCCCTCCACTGGAGAGCTCCTGACCTGTCACTGATTTCAGCAGCCCCCTCACAGGAGTATGTGCTGTGGTTTGCGTTCCTCTCAACATCAAAATCCAGCAGACAGCAACAGAGAAAGCTGGGTCATGGCAAGGGGGATGAAACAGGAAATCACAAAAGGAAACTGTTTCCTTGGCTCCAGGGGTTGCATTATGGGTGTCAGAAGGGGCTGCACCTTGTGCTGCCGTCTTGTGAGGGGCCATCACTTACACCGGATCCCTGCCTGCCCAGAGGCCCTTGGTACTCAAGGTCCTTTTTGAGACTCAGTGGCAAGCCATTACATATTCACTATAGAGCCCAGCCTGAATTTTGTCACAGAGGAACCAAGCACCACCTATGATTTTCTGCACAGCAGAGCCTTTCCAAGTTGGTCTTTCTGGGACTCCTGAATGGGAAGAACAATGATCGAGGCACTGCACCAGCTATGCACCACCAGCCTCTGCTACAGGCACCCAGTGCTGGGCTTGGGCCAATCCTATATGTTTCTTTGTGTTCAGTTTGGAGGATCACAGTTCAGCTCCACTGTATGTGCTGGATGCTGGGACTGAGTCTCGTGATGGCTATGCATTGCTTCAACTCACGCCTACAATAACAATAAAGGCTAAGTTCCGCGGCTCTGAATCTGTCTAACCTAATGGCTGTTTTGTGCAGTTGGGGATTAGAGGGACAGCCTGATATATCTGTCTGCTGAATATCATTTGCTGTTTACCTTTCCTGGAGGAGGGCTCAGATCTAGGACCATAACACTTGTAGGGTGAGGGAACAGCAGATGAACAAAGCAAGAAGACAGAGCTTCATGGAAACCTTGTAAACCACCAACTGCAGTAAAAGTCAAGGCAGGAATTAAAAGCTGTCAGTTCAGAAAGACATAAACCCACCACCTTTTCTTTATCTGGATTCCCTGGCTGAGCTTGGAACAGATTTTCTGTTTTCCAGGAGGTGTTTCACAGTATGTGTTGTGGTTTGCGTTCCTTTGAGGCACACAAACCATCGCGCTTTGGAGAGAACGTAATTCTGAGACAAAGCCTTTCATCTGTTCTGTAGTGACCTCCTGAGGGGACGCTGCACGTAGTATCTTTGTTAGTCACCCCAACACTCCTTTAGAAGGCTTTCTTACCGTGTAGCCACAGCTTTATTGCTACCTTGGCAGGCTACGATGCAAACCTCTACCTCTACGTGCGAAGTGACCTGTTGCAATAACCACTAGAGTGGATGTAGCAAGAAGCTTTCCCAGACCACGACACTTGGAAGTACACACACATACTTACAAAATCTGTGCAACCACAGCATGGTTTATTTTACATGAAAAAGCAATACAGCACTTACTTTGAGGGAGGAGGAGGAGACAGGCACAATGTGTCAGACTGCAAGACATCCTCAGCATTCATGCTCCAGTGCACCAGACAGGTCTTACTGAAGGTGCAGTAACAGAGAGAGAGTCAGGGAGCATATTTCTCTTTCCTGAAAGATTTACACATGACTGCACACACAGCGTGTGTGGCCATAGGCCCCCAGCAGAAAGCTCGACGTGCAAGTCAGTGGCTGGATGTGAAAGCTCCCCTGCAATCTGGGAGAGCACCTTAGGCTGAAGCCAGATATTCAAAACCTCCAAGTGCAGCAGGCCACAGAGTTAAGGCCAGATAGGGTGTAAGAAGCCATGGGCAGAAGCTGTAAGTGTGCTGTAAGCATGAGAATGAACCTGCCTTCCTGAGCTGGTATTGGGAAATGGAAGCTGAAGATCAGAGGCTGGAGTTCTACTTGACCCCCGTTTCTCCTCTGGCAGTCATTTGGAAGCTCACATAACTGCAGAGGTGATTCAGACTTTTCAGAACAGAACTTTAAGCTTACATGAGAAGTCTGCAGAGCCTCCCAAGGGTGGTTATTCACACCTGGACAGTGTAGCTGCACAAATCCCAACCCGAGCCCATAGAGGTCAGGTTTTGACTAGCTGCTCTCCACCCTGTCTTCACTTCTAGGGGGTACCAGATACTGATGCAATGTTCACACATGCTGAGGCAGAGGAGCCTGCAGATTTCATCAGTTTATCTGCCTGCTCAACTCCTTAGCACTTGTGTGGGCTCTGCTATGAGAAATCAATGATGAATTCCCATCGCTTCCAGTAGGAGCAAGCTAGGAACAAAATAAAGCACAACAGTAGCCTTTTAAGCAAGCTTTTAGTCAGCTCCCTGAGGATGCAGCCAGACATACTGTCTATGCCAGATCAGCTTCAAAGCTGTTAGTTGAGAGTGCTCAGAGCAGCCACAGCCTGAGCTAATAATAAAAATGCATCTTCCACAGCCGAGCTCAAACTTCTGCCTACTCCTAACTATAGGAGGATGCTCTTCCAAGTGCATCCTTCTGCTTTTGAGCATTGGGCAGGACTTTCAAGGACTGATGCAGATCAAGCCTTGCATATCCCATTCATTTTGTTCAGGAGCTCTTGTAGAAACCATCAAAGTGACTCTTGGAAAACCATGGACTTCTGTGCAAGGAGCCCAGTGTAGATTGACATCCAGTTCCAGCTCTGCTACATGGGCTGAGCAAGGCAGTTGGTTTTATTGTGCACCACTGATCCCTTCCCTACTATCTGTATATCTTTGCTATTGAGTTGCTCAGGAATTGCTTCTTTGGATTTGCACTGCGCTTAGCTGAAGGGGCTTTTGATGGAAGCCAGGGATTTAGGATGCTAGCTCACAGCACACTGTGCTACAAGAAAAAAGTTTGCATATGATGAAATGACAGTGAACGGATCTGATAAAAGGCTCTTAAGTTGTTAACTCAAGCCCTGCAAAATTAAGAAACATTTTAGCAATAGCAGAAACTGTGTTAGGGCCTTATCAGTTTCAAAGAACTCTTTCTTAATTGTCTTCACAATATTGCTCCTTTTGGCTATTTGTTGTAAAGGGGTATTTGGAAATTTATACTTTCAGAGTCACCAGTGGCTCCCAAACAAAATTTTCAGGGCTCTGCCTTTCCCATTACTGAAGTAATGGGAAAGCCTTCCAGGGATTTTCATTCCATCTTTTTGCCCCAGAAAAGGGACATCAGCTGATTTTCTGAAGCTTTCAGAGATCATCTACCTAGAGAAGAAAAGGGACTGAGCAACACTAGGCACACTTCATCAATATGAAGCTGTGATACCTGCATGGATAAGGCTACCAGATTAAGTCCTCATTTTGATCCAGGCTGCGTGGTCCAGGTCAGCTTCCTCAGAGGACACAAGCCCAGAAGGGATGGTCTCCAGGGGAGGTTTGCCCTCCTCATCCATCGCTGTGCTCCCACATCCCGTCTCTGGGAGCTTTGATGTGCACCTCATGGGGTCAGCCATCCTCACAACACAGGTTCACCAGTCCCTCAGTGCAAGGTTTGTGGGAGAGATGTGTCTATGACCAAGCAAATGGCTGCTTGTGGGTTCTGTCACTTCTTGCCAGAGGTTTGATACTGCTATTCTTGCACTCACCATCAGAGCAAGGGACTTGGTTGATACGAGGTTTTATTTGTAGGAGGGCCATTTGTGAATGTTTAGCCATGTCCTGGCTGAGGCCAAGCCTCGTGGAGCAGCACCTTAGCTACTGAGCTTTGTTTCAAACCGCACAGCATCCATTTGCATTTCTTCTCTCAGCTCCATCCAATGCAGCACAAAGAAATAACCCATCTTTCTCAAAAGAACTGGCTGCTGGCCTCCTGCTGCCTTTCCTTTGCACCAAAATCCATTACAAAGCATCCTCTTAGCTTCTGGGAACACTAAGAGCCTTTTTATGTCAAGAAGTTAAACCTTGTTACTCAGCTGGCAATAATTCCCCTCATTTAACACCAATGCTTTTGATCCCTTCCTCTTAAAAAAATTATGCACCAAAGCTAAATCATTTGTCTTCTCCTTTCCAGACAAGGAAGAAGAGACATGGAAAATGGTTGCAATGTCTCGCTGGCTCACTCAGCTGTCTTAGTAGAGGCTTGTTAAATTCTTACAGAAGACATCCTATTCCCGGCATAAGAGATCGCTTTTTGTGCATCAAAGGGATGTCATTGGGCTAAATGTTAGGTCTGAGCTGGGATCTCTCAGCTAGGAGTCAAAACAAAGATTAGGATGGTGACCATTTAATACTGAGGCTCTGGCATTCACCAAGCCCATGGCTGGGTACCCAATTATCACTCAGCTCCAATACAAATACATTATTGGCCACATTTATTCCTCACCATCATTAGTCTGGGCCACTCTTATCTTATCTGGTTTGTCCTCTTCACAGTCTGATGAAACAACAGGCTCAGCTGACTGACATGTTTAACTAAATCATCCCTTCAATGCTGGTGCAAGCACAGCACTGCAAATGCTGGACCTGAAATTCCTCCCATGGCGATCACTCAATGAAAAGGTGAGCTGGAAGAGGAAATAAACACACATAAATACTTCTCTCAGGAGGGTCAGTGATGGGTTGCAAATCATATGGGATGAAGTCATTATTTACTGAAGGCTGTAATAGATTTGTGGTTGCTACCAATTGTGAAACCCATCCCTGGTATCACTCTCTCAGGGCTGGGGTTACAAAGTCCTGGGAAGCTGACTGGCCATGGCGTGAATGCTGTGTCCTGAAGAGAGATGGAGCTGCATGTTTTTGAGGCAGTTTCCCCCCATCATCTCCCCACAATGGGGTGGGAGATGGAGAGGTCTGGGAGAGCACAGGCTGCCTTTCCCCAGCATTAAGCTGGGCTAGGGGCAGCACCCTGATGGTAACTGGTGTTGGGGCCTCAGGACCCACTGAGATCCAGTCAGCACGCCATCCCAGAGCATGTACATGAAGCCCTTAGCACCAACATTTCACTCCATGGATCATTTGTATAGAGGAGTGAGATCAGCCAGGTTTGGACAAGACTTTATTCCGTATAAAGGGATCAGCACAGAGTATCCAGGCACTCAGCGTTATCTCTGCTTGTGCTTCATGCCTGCTTTCCTTATGAAGCACCAAGCCCTTTCTTCTCCTAAAGCACTGCTCATTTTGTGGTTTTCATGTTTCTGATCTGCTGCAGCAGGTCAGACATTAGAGTGAGGCTGACTAACAAGATCATGAAGTCTTCAAAATCAATTTTGTTCTCTGGCTCCTCATCCAGGGCAGAAATGATTTCCTGGTATTTTGGTTTGTTTTCTTGGCCCTATGGAGGATTTTAAATGGGAAAAAAAGAAGAAAAAAGAAATTAAAAAAATATTAAGAAGTTCCTTTTTTATTGCATCAGACAAAAAGACACCTATATAAAAATCTGTGTATTTTCCTATATTCCCATTCAGGTTTTTATGCCCACATTCATATTAGTTTTTCTAAAGGTATCCCAAGAAACTCAAACAGAAATATTATTGTAATCAGACAGGAGAAAAACTGGTCCTCAAAGGTTTCCACCTGAACCCAGAATACATCTTTAAAGACACCTCATCATAGCTGGGAATCTGGCAGGAATGATGCTGCAGCAGGTAACTGTTGGGAAGAATAGAATCCTGTGTCTTGATGAAACCAACACACCCTCCTACCTTCATATTCAAGATATTTCTCATATATATATTGTGAACACCTCAGAAACTGTTGATTTTACATACATAACTTCAGTAGCTTCTATTCTCTGCCCTGTTAGACATTACTGTTGAAATGGAAGGGATTATTAACAAGTATGTATCGTGTCTGTAATTCATATTTCTTTACACATAAAAGAAACAAAAAAGCTACAGGATTTAATTTTTTAGCTTAATAATCTTCAAAACATCACAAACTCCAGATTTGATTGGCTATTGAAATTTTCACATCATTTTCCATAAGGAACCTATTTTCTAACCCACTGCCAATTCCCCCTTCCCAACTGGTCACATTATTTTGTTATTCTTGGAAGCAAAGGTATTGTCAAGAATGTCCTAAACATCTCTTTTACTGAGTTGAGCTCTTTTTACTAGTCCTGCGTTGTTTTTCCTACCACCTTGAACACTGCCAGGGATGAAACATTCACCGCTTCTCTGGGCAGCCTGTTCCAGGGCCTCGCCACCCTCACAGGAAAGAGTTTCTTACTTATATCTAACCTGAGTACCAGTATAGCTGTTTCCCACCATACTCAACTGCCATAAACACCCCGGGTGGGTGACTGATGGAGAAGTGCTTTCTGCTCCCTTACTCCCAGCAGTCCCACCAGTGACCATAGTGTTGCAGCTCTGCAGCACTGGGCTGGCTCTCCTGGTACCAGCCCAGTGCTCTGGCAAACTACTGAACACCTCATTAAATGCCATGGGATGACAGGACGAGGGGGAATGGCTTTAAACTAGAATAGGGTAGATTTAAAATAGATCTTAGGCAGAAGCTCTTCCCTGTGAGGGTGCTGAGGCGCTGGCACAGGGTGCCCAGAGAAGCTGTGGCTGCCCCATCCCTGGCACTGTTCAAGGCCAGGTTGGACACAGGGGCTTGGAGCAAGCTGCTCTAGTGGAAGGGGTCCCTGCCCGTAGCAGGGGCTGGAACTGGATGAGCTTTAAGGTCCCTTCCAATCCAAACTATTCTGTGATTCTATGATGGTTTCTTCTCTTCATAAATACAGTCTCTTGTCATTATCTGAGGTTTTTTGTTTTGTTTTTCTCCCCAAAATGCGTATTTTCTTTTAAGAAAACCCCACAAACAAGCACATCAATTTATTGTGCCTCTCCTCCTTTAGCCTTGTGTTAGGTCCAGTATCAGCATAAAAGAGCTAATTCACTACCAGTGTTCATACTAAATCACTGAAGTCTCACTTGACATTGCCTCATGGAGTGATGCCCAGGTGCAGAGCAGAGCCTGAGGTGCCATTTCTGCACCCAAATCACCCAGCCAGTGCCACCCCACCACCCCGCTCTTGCCCACAGTTCCCCTCACCTGTATGAAACCCCCAAACTGGGTTTGCAGCAAGCTTTTTGTTTCACCTTTGCTGAGCTTGCCCTCCGGATCAGCAGAGTTGTTATACACCAAAGCCAGTGTAGCGAAAGCTTTCTCAAGGTCTGAGCCTTTTCCTAGAGCTGGGGGGGAAGTTATCAGACTATCAGAAAAAGTGGCATTATAATTTAAAGGAATCTGTCAGAACCATCCTGAGTGGGAGGGAATCTGTGCAGTTTACAGTTAATGAGACTGAAACTGTTTGTACCCACAGAGGACCTGGTCCAGATTTTATTTGGAGTGGGACAGCAACACACCTCATGTCCCATGGAAACACAGCCCGAGAGGAAGCTTTCGGGGCAGCAATGCAGGGTGACACATGAGACCCATCAAGTCTATTCCTACCTCTCTTATCTTGCATCAGCTGAGGGTTTGTGTGGCCTCTGCAGCTCTGCTAAATCACCAGATTTACTGGCTGAAGAAGACCTGAACCCAAAGAGGCAATGAATCGATCCCCTTACCTTTTATTGATGCCAGCTGCTTGGCTATGGGTATGCTGGTAGGGAGAGAGAAGAGAGGCACAGTTATCACCTGGTGAACTGTGTGCATATACAGTTTCTCCATGAGTAAGCTTGCTCATTTCTGTTTCATTTAATCCCCCCAGAAACTCAGGGCTTCCCAAGGGAGACCAGCTTTTCTTCACAACTGAAAGGAAAATGGTCTTTACAAGCAGCACTCAGCATCACACAACTCCTAATTCCTCACCTAAGCAAGGAGCCTGAAGGTGCTTATTAAATAATTTTCAGAGAGGGGCATTGCAACATCCTTTAAACAATTTCTTTAGAACGTGAAAGAGCTTCTCAGTTTTAAGCCTGTCCCCAGGGAATAACAGAGGGGTCTATCAGCCCCTGCTCACCAGTGCTCCCAGTTTGGAGCAGACATGCAGCTTTTATTTCCAGCAGGACTTACATCAGTGAGCAGCACCTCCCTGCTTCCTATTAAAACATAGAGCCTGCTTACTTCAGCTAAAGGGCTAGAAATAATTACAGAGCAGCCAACACACAGTGGAAGATTTTGCTTGTAATAGAGGCAAATACATCCAGATAATGATCTTCAAGTCAAATGGCAGATCACCTGAGATGCAAAGAGCAAAATGATGACTTACCACTTGGACATATCTGCTGCAGCCAAAGGGCTCTTTTTGGTAGATGCAGGAGCTGGGTTATTGTCCAAGCACTGCTTTGTATTGGAGACGCTGGCTCTGCAGCCACACATCTTGAGGCCAGGGTGTTTGTGATCTCTAAGCAACTTGAGTAATAGCAAGCAGGTGAATTCAAGCTCTACCTTGTGGAAGCTTGCAGCCCTGCCTTACCAATAATGGAAACACAACCTGGTGATCATGGAGCTGGTTAAACACATGGGTCTAAAGCAGCCCCTGTTGACAAGTAGCATGGCTTTGATTTGATGTGAGAATTTGACAGAAACAAGCCAAATTAATGGAACCTGAATCCTCTTAGATCTGTAGGGATGTAACTGCATGAGGAATAACTTAAGAATCTGAATCCATTGAGCTATACACATTATCATTTCAGTGGGAAATGTTTCTAGTGTGGGCTAATGTAACTTGCCCAAAGCTATAAAGTGAGTTGTTCCAATAGATAGTCAGAAATCCCATTTCCTGACCCAGCATTTATCCCAGGTGAGCACGCTCCTGCTCTAATATTTATTCCCCAATGCAGAGCAAAGAGATCTGTTCTTCCTCTGAACCTCTTGCAAAGCAGCATCCAGCACAGAGCCTCTGCTTTGGTTTCTGTGTGAGTGGTTACTACCTGCTTCCAAAAGCAGCACAGAGCCATATGGCAGAGCAGTCGCATGTTGAGGAACTGGAAGAGCTCTGATGAACTTTGTTATTTGTTGGCACAGATATTGCTTTTAGAAAACACACATCTTGTCTCACTGCCTATCTCCATGCACAGAAACCCAGAGGTGTCTAGATGGGATAACTTGAATCTAAAAGACCAAGCAGCCCTTCTAATCCCAGGGTGGTCTGTTAATAGGTAGTGACTTCAACTGCCTCACCCAGCTCATCATTCCTGGTGAAAGAATACAATGCTGATGCTAAAACTACCCAGGATGAGACTTTATGTAACAGGACATGCAAAGGAGACTGCAACAGATGGCCTGGAGAATTAAAATGTTTTCCTCAGTTAGTAGAAGCTAAATTACTGAAGACTAATGAATAAGGATGTTCACCACCTTACTGTTCCTGGATTTTAATTATCTTAAAAAGCATGGGAAAAGAGAACCTTTAATTTTCCATCTAAGAGTGTCATTACTCAAACAATTCAGAGCCTTTTTCTGAGAGGTTTAAGCTGTCTTAGATCTCTAGTGCATTCTTTAGGACTGGCTCATGAATAAAACAGAGCCTGTAATTGCAATGACGTAGCCAAAACACATATAATCAATGCTCATTATCCCATCAATTAACACACTAAAATTAAACAAGAATTCAGGCTTAGTAATCTGCCATCAGCTAGGAAAAAAAAAAGAGAGAGTCTTGATATCATGTTGAAGTGATAATTCCCTTTCACATCTGTTGAACCATACAAGGAGGCATGAAAAGCCTTACATCCTGCTTAATCCGCAGGGTGGTGGTGGTTGATCTTAGCGTCCAAGGTAAAAATGAGAATGAGAGGCAGTCTCTGCTGCATGTTTATCAGCTACAAGCAGTGCTGTGAGCTGGCTGCAAACCCAACCCTCTGTGTTTTGGGCTTTTTCCACTGTACATCAGATTTCAGCTCACAGCCTTTTTAATCTAACCGACTCCTGAGAACCTGAGCTCTAAACCAGATGATTTGCTTTGCTTAGGTAGTAACAAGTTCAAACAAGCCCAAGGTGCATTATCCCTCTAGAATACACTAATCAACGTATGCAGGAGTGTTAGTGCCTAAAAGATAAAGAGAAGCATGAGGATAACCCTTGCCTTTGCAGATATCAGCTTCAAAGATGGCAAGATTTTGGCTGCATGTATTGCTTGAGTATTCTGGTCAGCAAGGTGTGCAGGGAGCCAGGCCATCTGCTCTGTATCTATTTTTATACACACTATTTATGTTTGAAATATCCAGGTGATTTTATTGGTCAATTTTTAGCATGTTTCACACATTAACAATATTGTCTGCCCCAAATAAGCAACCTGGCACCTAAAATTGCAAAACCTTTACGGGCAGTTCACTTAAAATAATTGAGGCTACAAAAAGCTTCAGCCTCTGCTTCACTTTTGATATTTCCCCACAGTTTTCTCACTCTTTTTAGAGTACTTTGTGCAATTCAGGAAGTCTTATGTTGTGAAACAGTTGTGTGTGATGGAGCCCTGGCTCCCTTAGAGATGACCCTACAGCACTGGGCAGGTATGGGCATGCCCAGGGCAGGAGGCACAGAGACACAAGCGAATTCCTAAACCAGGAGTTCCAGTCACACTGTTAACCGCCCAGACTGCATTCCTTCAGCTGACCCTTCAGCAGATGCAGAAGTGATGCTAACTTGCACGCAGGGAGGGAAAACGCTTCCATCCCTGGCAGTGTTCAAGGCCAGGTTGGACAGGGCTTGGAGCAACCTGCTCTAATGGAAGGTGTCCCTGCCCATGCAGGGGGTTGGAACTGGATGAACTTTAAGGTCCCTTTCAACCAGAACCAGTTTGTGATTCTATGATGGTTCTATGCATATCTTGATTTCTTTGTGACGAGAATATGGTCATTTTCATCTTCCGTGATATGTGTACTTTTTTCCAAAGAGCCAAGACTGAGAAGCCCCCCACATCATCTTAGCCCAAAACAGAACCGGCTGTCACAGCCTAATACCACTTTCCTTTTGCTCCATCCCTGTGAAATCAGTTGCTTAACATGGGAAAAGCTAGCAGAAACAGCAGGTCTAATGTCCTCGCTGTGGCTGGTCTCAACAACAGCCACAGCCTTTGGTACCCCCACTGGGGAAGGACCTTCCTCTCTTCTGCATGGTGGCATGCAAAGAGGAGACACAACCAGCACAGGTCAATGGAGGATTTAACCAGCTGTAGGGATTAATGTCCCTGGTGCTGCAACAAGCAGTCTGCTTTCCACAAATCTAAGTGAACAAATGGTCACTGTACCCCTCTGGTCACAGAGCCCAGCTGGCTCCTGCTCTCCCGTCACTGGTTTACCCATGTTAACGTACTGCCAGGCATCATGAGGAGGAGGATAAATAAACTGGTCCAGGAGGATAAATAAAATCCGAGTGTTTCCTAGTCATTTGTTTCTCCATCACCATGCCTTTGGGGTGGATGCTGCTGCTGCTGCTTCCATTCATGCTGTGGTAGCTTAAGTGATGATCTGTGTGTCACAGGAATACTTTCCTCTTGCACATCACCATTTTATAAAGAATATCTCTTCGTAGTCAATTTGATTTTGCCCAGGGGTGAAATCTGCACCAATGTTTACCTGCCTCAGTCAGGCTGCGTGCAGTTTGGTGACTGGTGCCTGATGATGAAGCTGGGACCAGTGCTTCTCTGGGTAATGCCAAATGCTGGCACGCTCAATGGGTCTGTGCAGGGGTTGAGGTGAGGGGAAGACCTGGGTGGGAGGCACAGATGGGCCAGCCCATGTCCCCTTCCACACTCATACGAGATAGCTCAGACTGACATTTACCTCTAGGGGTCATGAATGATTGAAATATGAATCCTATTGCTGAAAAAAGAGCAGGTAAAATGTTGTTTAAGAAAAGCCACTAGAACTGGTCTCTCTGCAGGGAAACATCATGTGGCATCTCTTATCTAGGCATTTTTCAGACATGGTACAGCACTTTGGCCAAAATATGCTTGTGCCTCGTATGGGGGCTGTCAGGGAGCACAGTGGCTGTGGGGATCCCCTGTGTGCAAGCACCCAGCTCTTCCAGTTTCTATAACAAGGAAGAGCCCAGTGTTCTTGGTATAGTATTCATTTTCAGAAGGAGGCCTGAAAATACACTAAAAGAATATTTGAGCAATGTTTATTACAGGACTTTTAGACTTTAAAAAGACAGTTATAAAACCCTAAAATGTTATTAAAGAAGGACACAACAAGAAAAAAATCAGGAAATGAAACTGGTAGATAAATGCAATAAATGGGGGTGCATTCCTGCTGAACTATTAAAATTTCACATTGAAATGCTAAGGTCTCCATACTAAGGATGTACGGCATTGACAAATGATGGGATGATCAGCACCAGATATTAATACTATCCATTCACATTCATAAAGATTTTGACTCATATCTGGCTTAAAACTAGTAGACAGAGGACTAAATGCTTATGACATGATATGGCATAATAGGGGAAGAACTTTTCCAGAAAGGATGGAACAATACATGGTACTTTCTACTCAGTATTTCTTCATCTGTCTGCAACATTAATTGTGAAACTCTGGAGATGATGTCAGGAGCAGACTACATGCAGGTGCAATGTGGGTTGCATGCGACTGCCTCTGTCATCAGTACATCAGCATTCAGCCAAGAATACTTCAGGGCTAGAGCCTGAATTGCTCATTCAAATTGAGAGCACATACAGGTTGGAAATAATTAACCTAATCAGGTCAGGCAACTGCAATATGAATTCATGCAACAGGAGCACAAACTTCCTCCGAGTCCCGGCCATCACTGAGGCTCTGTTATGGGTGGTTCAACTGCCACGGTGAAGGAGATTTAATCAGGAAAGTATTGCACAATAAGAAAATACCTTGTCTAGTGAAGGCACAGCCCTGCGGGCTGGATTTGCATTTGAACTTCTCCTTGGGTCCTTGACGTGCCGGGCAGGGAACAAAGCAGGCTGCAAAACCCCTGCGTACCCAGAGTCGTGCTCCCTGCTCTCCCCACAAAGGGTATGATGCTGCAGCTTTGCAAAGTGCATCCCTTCCCAGGCAAAAGCAGTAGGGAAACCCTAAGCTGAAATGTGAGCATGATTCCTCTTGCTTGGCTTCTGAGTCACCTGGAGAGAAAGTCCTGTGCTTCCACTTCCTCTGCCACACTCTCAGGGGTACCTGAGAGTACACAGCTCTCCACATCTCTACACTTGATAATGCAAATACGCTCCCATCCTGGGTAGCTGAGAAATGGGCTATAAAGAGAAACACATGGGAAAACAGGAGGGACAGCACACAAGATCAAGGAACATGTTTTTTTTTCTCCCAGGCTGACCTAGTTATTCAACTAACTGGCAGAGATACACACTAATGATGAAGTGGGAAAGCAATCAGCCTGCCAGCAGCAGTTTCACAGAGGATGCTCAAGTGTACTTAGCTATTTGTCTTAAGCCCAGGAAACATCAAATACAGGCTTTTCCATCTTGCAGCTCAACACTTTGCTCTACAGTCACTATTTCTGGTTCAAATAAACCTCCAATTTCTCAGTGATTGCCAAAGGATGTGATAAGAGTTGAATCCAGGAGAACACAGAGGAAACATTCAGATACACTTTCTTATATAACACAGG